AACCCCATGACCCGACTTCTGGTAAAAGCAATGACCTCATCCACCCCCCCAAACTTGGACACAAAAAGAAAGTGGGGCAAGATACAAAAAAAAAGGATGAAAATGTATATTTTCCATGGACCTCCGATATGTGGTTGGGTGGAACGTTCTAGAAGATGTAATTATGCTGGTCTTCTCTTTTCAGAGCACGTCACTCTGCAAAGCCCCCGCTCACCACATGGAATGTGTTTTACGATGTCCTGGAAACATATTAATGTACCACTTCGTGTATGTTACCCTTTAAAACTGCAGAGCACTTTTTCTCGAAGCCCGAACTCGAAAGCCGTGTTTAATAGCTTAGAGACAAATTATCGGCGGGCGGCCGAAAAGTCTCGCGCTGTTAGCGTTTTGGACGACGGCGCGGTAGAGCTTCAAACTGCGTTCCGAATTAACGACCGCAGCACGTGTGTTGCTCTATGTTCAAGGAGCCAGATCATCCATCCATCCATCCATCCATCTACACCCCCCCCTTTTTTTTGTGTGTGTGTGTATGGGGGGGGGGGGTTTCCTGTCCCCAGAGAGACTGTGCTGGGACACCGGCTGAGTGTTAAAGCCCTGTCCCACAGTAGGTCCGGGCATTATGGGATTGCTCTTTCTATTCCTGGCCGGACACTCTGCTACCAGGGACCCTGCTTGCCCTGCTTCTGCGTCCTGCCTTCATGATTGGCTGGGGGCCGTCAGCTGACAGCTCCTTCTGGCCAATCCTCTACCTGTCGCCACGACAACGTCCATCACAAGTCTGCCTGCATTCAGGCTTGAAAGGAGGAAACACCCTGATGTGGGATCAGGGGGGACAATAAATATGATTGTTATGGTATGCTGTTTCATTACCTCTTGAACATTTTATATATGCAATAAATATTTCAGGGTTTTTTTTTTTTTTAATACCCATGAGCTTTGCTGTGAGTTTACAGCACTGTTCCAGTTGCCAATCCTCTCAATGTTAAACACAAAACACAGAAGCCAGCAGTGTTTCAACAGCGATCATAACAAGGTCGTCTGTGAGAAAACAATGTTATGGCGTTTGGGGTGTCCGCGGCCCCGTGTCCTCTGCCTCCTGGGCCCCCAGCCAGACTCACCATGACCTGGATAAGTAGTTATGGAAGATGGGTGAGTAGAATCGAGAGCATGACATTTGCGGCAAAGGATAGTTCTCGGGATAAACCCCAAAATGAAGGAGAAACAAGGCAAAACCGGACCTTGGAGTGGAAATCCCCCAACCCCAAAAAACTCCGGAGAACAGGCCGCTTTCATTAGATCTGCTCCCTGGCACTGGGAAACACTCCGCTACTTGTACAAAGTCATAAATGGAGGCCTTTTTGCCCCTTCGATATGGCTGTAGACCTGAAGCTCATGTTTGACGAGCGCTGGTGGCCCATGAATGTCTCATTCAGGCTCCATGGAAGCTTCTAGAAGCCAGCAGTCCCCCCCCCCTCACCCGTGCAATTCCAGCAAAGTGCTATAAGGTGGCCCTATGCCCCAGGGCAGACAGGAGGCAGCCCGGGGGGCGGGGGGTAGGGGGCAGATGCAGTAACAGAAACCCAGTTGTTTCCCATCACACCCCACATGCAGTAGGAAGCATAGCTGTGCCACTTTACCACCAGTGCATGGTTCACTAAGTCACTAGTGCTGACCCCCCCCCACAAGAACCACCACTGGTTCTCACCGAGTAGCGGGAATACGTACCTCCAGAAGACAGCTGGACAACCTAAACCCAATCCCAGATTCACATTCAATGCGTTGGCATGGAAACTTGGGATTTTCCACTATTTCCGGAGCTCTTATGAATGTCAAGAGGAGACCATCCAGTGACTCAGTCAAAAACTCGGGGGGGGAGCGAACAACTGCATAACAACAGGTAGTTGGCGCAAGGACGCTGAATTCCTGAAGGCGCCTTTCAATCGATATACGGTATAAACAAACAGAAAATAAGTGGTTATCTGTTGAACATGGTTTCCTGCAGACGAGACGAAATAATTGTGAGCCTGTTCAGTTTGAGGGGGGGTGGGCGCACCAAGTGCTCATTTTGCAGCTCTTGAAGCCTTTCAAGATTACTTCCACATCAGACCCCCCGGAAACATTGAACATCAAAAGGAACAGCCGTGTTTAATTAGCCAAGATAAGAGAGACACCCACCTTCGTGTGGTGCATTTATCACAACAGCAGGCCGACTCACAGTTCTGGTAAAGCGTTCCTGTGGTAGGGAAGACTAAACGTGTTTATAAAGCTTGTTCCTTGACCTTTGTTTTGTTTTGTAAACTCCACCATCTTATATGGCTAAGTAAACCTTTTGTTAACAGCATAGCGGCATAGCATTTATTATTTATAACTCTTAGTGTTTAACCGCTTTTACGTCCTCAATAAAACAACGTATCGGGAACGATTGTTTTTGCAAATCCAGCGTTGTCTTCACGGAACAAGCTGAAGTTTGTGTATTTGTCGCCATCTGCAGGTAAGAGGTGGGAAATGTTTTCCAGAACACAAAAAAGGGTCGCTCGTGCCAACAGATATCGACAATATTTGAAGTTACGGAAGTCGTAATCATGAAAAAGAGCAGTATTTCCACTGATCCAAGGACTACCAACAGAAAGTGTTAGGGGTCTTCTTATCCACCAGCCTCAACCACCACATCTTTGATTGATTTACCACTTTGAATCAGCGCAGCCATACTGGGGTGTACCTCTGGGCCAGTTCAATGGGATCCACTACCTGTGACATTTTTAGCAAACAAACTGCAAATGAGTTAGAATTATGGGTTGGTGGAGAGAGATGGGACATGCATATCCCATAAAAAATAAAATAAAAAACACTGAACTTGTCTAAACTGGAAGCCAGCTGCCCTGCGACACAGGATGAGTCAGACACAATGGCCAAGACGTCGGCATCGGTCTGCGGAAGAGTGCTCAGTTCGCCCGTAAGCAAGCTGAGAGAATGTTCTAAAACAGCAGGACTTGGGACTCCAGCTCAGGGGGCGTCTTCTCTGTGTCACAACCCGTTTGTTTCTTATATCTGTTAGAGATCAGTTTAAGGACTGGCACTGCACATCTTAATGCGGTTCCTTTAAATGTCATTTGACTGGTGTGAATCATATTTCAGCCATGTAAACTGCTGATTATTTACTCATGATAATCTGCTGATTGTGGAAAGTCGCAGAGACTCTTCTGACCCATGAAATGTCACATGCTTGTGCTGTTGCCAGGTTACAGTCAATCCAGGAAGCTCAGGATTAACTGGAAGTCAGTCAGACAGAAGTCAAGCTCTCTTAAGGATCCATCCATCTATATTTTAACAACTTACACTGGTCAGGATCACGGGATGGGGGGGGGCGGCCCACTGACACATTATGGGCAACTTACCCTGTGGCTGCTGGGGGCAACTTGTCTTACAGCACATGGGTCATATTTAATTCTTTCTTCCAGATCTTGGACTGACAGCAAAATCTATTGCACTGACTCTCCACAATAAATGCCAGGGGTATTCAGTGCATCATGCTGAAGGAATGACGTTACATAATACCAAACCTGAAACGTAGCTTAGTCTCATAGCTGTGAAAGACTACAGTTTTTGGTCACACTTTGTTTTGTGCATAATGACAATAAGTTTTATCTTGGTGAGAGTGGAGAGTGTTTCAGAAGAACTGGACGCCTCGCAGAGCCTTCAGCCAAGCTGTCAGTGACAGACACCCACCACACAAAACAAACCCAGAAGAGCCAGGTGGCCAAGTGCAGAAAGGCCAGTTTGAAAAATATCATGCATTTACTCTTCCACACCAATAGGGGGCAGCGTAGGCTGCTTTCACAAGTACTTTTTTTGGTCTACTTTCCAGAAGTCATATGTTTTACCTCAAACTATTATACAACACATAATTTAAAGTATACTTTTACTCAAATGAAAACATTCACACACCTATTTGTGGTGCAGGAGTCCTAAAGACAGGATTTAGACACTGTCTTAATATCCAAGGAGATAACTGATGCATAGTCAACAATCCTGTAAAAGGGGGCACTGCACACTGGTTTCCCTTCCTTGCCCCTGAGGAGCCTCTCCTTGGTTTTGAGGGCCTGCTGCCATAATAAACCGCCGGTGTTTCACACGCATTTTCTTAGCAAACCGACAAGAGGCTCTGGTCCCAGACGTCCGCCTGCGGGCCGCGACATCGCACATAGTGTTCAGTAAAAACCAGGCGCCCCAAGCAGGAGCAGCGCACACAGGGAACGCCTGAGATTAGCATTCACCCGTACTTAAGGCTCTCGAGGCCAGGACACAGTCGAAGACGGCATCTCAGGCTAATGGAAGGTTCCAGGCCATCTATCAAAGCCACCTGCCAGCCACATGGCGCATGTTTACCTCCACCTTCCCCACTCCGGTGTGCCCATGTCACAACCATCCACCGCTGTTAGCACCCCACCTGTGAGGCATGGGGGGTGCTGGCTGATACATCATAGCCATATGAAGCAGAGGCAGGGACTGCCATTGCCCATCTGAGACTGCCAGGAGATGCCCCAACCAGCATTCTCATAGTATGTGATCATGCACTACTAGAACAAAAAATGGCCCTGGGCAATTTTCACAGCAGAGAATTAAGGCAGTATTTACCTAAAACAGACTGAGGGAGGGGGCACATACCTACAGTGAAGGGGTGATTCTAGGATTTTATTTCTTTAAGGTGAGGGGCTTAAAAAAGGGCCAGTATTATCATTAGCCTATGATACGTTTCGAAATGAGTAACAGGAGGCGGCATGCCAGGAGCCAATCAGCTTTCAGCTGGACCCAGTGCCCAGTGGTCCCACCCCTAGATAGAGTGGCTTTACAAACACGCATATATACCTTTATGGGTGGAGAGGGCAGCTTATTAGTCAAGACACAAGATGTTAGAAGGGGCTACAAGTGAGGTTCAGTCGGAGTGAGTAATCTGCCCCGCAGTGCAGGTAATGCATGCAGGACGGGCGAAAGAATGTTACCTGGAGTAAATGGTGACGTGATTCAAGGGGACAGTGATGCCGGCCAGTGAGAGAGAGAAGCGGGGGGCCCATCGGAACCCTCCTCACTGCAAAACGGACCACAGAATCGGCCGAAAATAGGATTCCTTAGTCTGCGGACAAAACAGTGATGCAGAGAGTCTGGTGTGCGTCCAAGGGCAGGCGGCTTTGTGCGAGATAACCAGCTGGAGAGCTAAGTTTACCCAGCCGAGAAATAGTTACGCTGCTTTATCCCCTCAAAGATTTTGATAAACATTTTTACATATTTAACTTCCGAGCGGCTTCTCTGGACCAAAAAGCTTGCAGTCATAGAAACACAGGTTTCATGTTTCAGGGATTACTGTAGGTCACCAAGGACCGAGAGTAAACACAGTGGCATCCCGATCCGGGGACAATTACCAGCGAATAGCGGGCACGTTAGAAATGGACAGGAAGGGCAAGGGTCAAAATAAACAGATCACAATTTTAATTGACAGCTTAAAAAACAAGAATGAAAAGAAATCAGCTTATAAATGTACATCACTCGTACAATGAGTTGTGGGCATATTAAATTATGTGGAATCCTATGGTATTTTATAATCACATACATTTCCAAATGACTAAATATACAGATTTCTATACATTTACATCCTTTTGGACATAACACTTGAATGCTTGCATCTTTTAATATGAACTTGGGGTATCTTATTGATATACACCCAAAACTAGACATTACTGGATGGCTTCTTGATTTGTCAGGTCTGTGGAGCAAATCCCCAGACAGAGAGAGTCATTCGTGGCTTTTATCTTGAGAGTACCTGCTTTCACAGTGTTTGTGAGCACATACACACCTGCCCTCTGCGAGCGGTACAGAGACTATCACACAGTCAAGTTTCCCCAACACAAAACGTACTTCAGATGACAAACACACACACACACACACACACACACACACACACACACACACACAAAGTCAAATCACAAATTTCCACAGAGAAACAAAATTAGAACAGACTGACAGGTTTCGGTTGGGAGAAACTTGCTGTCATCACCTGAAAACCTGGACAGTCTCATGGATGGGAATTCTGTGATAGTATCTCCCGAATATTGGCAGTGATACACTAATCCCTCACGTTAGTACCTGTGAGAAATACCTTAGATCATCAAAAAATTAAATAAATCAAGCCACCAGGAGGATCAGGACCTGGCAGGTTGAGAACAGTCTCCCCTGCATCTCACGTACTGTCTGGAAACAACTCACATGCCCGTTCGTTTACTTCTACTTGAAGGTTGATTAACTGATTCGTTCCACAAACTGCTTTAGAACCAACAAAATAAGATTGTCAGCATTTACCAGTCGTCTTTTTTTTTATTTATTTTTTTTAATAAAAGTAACGGATCCAAAAACCTTGTGAGAACACATATCAGACTGCCCATGTCTTTCTTTGCCAGCGTACTTTAAGTATGGCTTTAGGGCCCAACCCCAACTGGACACACGGTCTCAAATCTCAGCAAGTTAGCAACTGCATATGGACTAAGCTATATTGCACTATAATTATTTAACCCCAGAATGTGGGGGTTGCATGCCCCAGGAGCAGCCCCTGCGCACATTACATCAACTCTACAAGTTATTTTTTTATTATTATTATTATTATTATTATTATTATTATTTTTAAATACGAAAAAGTCCTGCATCAGAATTTACTGCATTTAATGAAAGGAAAGTCTTTGGAAAACGATGCAAACTATGCAGTTTTGTGCCATACGCTCACTACAGCTATAAAAGTGTGCTAAAAATCTAATTGGGTGTCGAGACTTGTCATATTTAGGTCGTCATTTAAGACTTTCACTGTGCCCTGGGATGTACGACGGCATGTGCATTCAGGACACTTCTCCCCTCTGACATTTTCATAATGTCGGAAAGATCCGGGCACTGCTCCACAAGGGCGAGGGAACCATCCTCCTCCTCCTCCCCCAACCCCCCCCCGCCTCGGGTTACGTGAAACGGCACGTCCGTTCAACATGCAGTTTCTCAGAGCCTCGGCTTGAGAAATCCAAGCCCGTCGGCATACCTGAGCCGCCGCGAGGCCGGCCGAAAAGGACAGAGCGTGCGGAGAGCAGGAAGTCTCCCAGAACAACCGGTTCCATCGAGCGCTCCGTCTCCGCCATATCCGGCCCAAGCGTCTAAAAGGCTGAAAGCATCAAGGGAACACCGGGGGGGAGTCAAGAACACTACCGGAGACCTCCAGGCACCCCCCCCCCACTCACAAGGCCCAGTCCAGGTAGCGGGTACCATAGGAGTCACTCTCCTGCCAGACAGAGAGACCCAGGCAAGACAGAGTACGATCAGATTAAACTGACCTTCCGCTGGATATTTACAACACCTCATCTACATTAAAAGACCATAGTGATGTTGAAATGTGTTCAAGTATGACCTTAACAACTCTTATCAAGGACTGTTAGCAAGTGCTGTCCCCAGCTCAATAGTTCATGCTGGGGTAAAAGTCCGAGAGGCCCTATTAACCTTATAGAGCCTAACTAAAGTAAAGGCCTACAGCACTGGGCCAGACCACAGGATCGATACCCACTTAGGACCTGGTATCACTGGTTGCAGGATCAAAAGGTTGCTTAAAGGCAACTACAGAAATGCATGAACCCATCTCCTGAATGCTGATCTGACAGACCGCGGCTAGGCTTACCAGTAACACTAGTGTATTTTTAAATCCTCAAAAAAAAAAAAAAAAAAAAAAAGAAAAAGGCACACAGCTACCATATTAAGTGAGTAAAAGGAGCTTGCCACTTAGATTAGAAGTGTCAAGTCACATTTGCAGCGGGATTGAGGTGCGGTTCGGCCAGCACAACGTTCACTGGGACGTTTGGGTCCGAGATGTTGGGTGGCTCCACAGTGCAGATGAAGAGCAGTATGGGAAGATCTCCCCATGGACTGCCCAAACACCCTTCAACAGTGCAGTACCCTGTCCAGACCTTCGGTTTGTTCCTGGTATCAACCAGTCTATTAAACAACGACCAAGTCAGAACAAAAAACTTTCACAGGCTATCAAAGACCAGCAGGCTCTTTGGAAGTTCAGCTCGATGGAGCAGGGAAGGCGACAGGAATAAAAACACAAGGGTGGGTATGAGAGAGGACCACCGACCAAGATCTTCTCAGTTTAATAGCTCAGATGTTAGGTGAGATGATCGCAGAGGGAGTCCCGGGCCTTAGTTAGGAATGGTGGGCTGGTTAACGATGACCTGGATGACGAAATCCTTCTGGATCTTGGTATCCTGCAGCCGCGTCTTGTCAGTCAGGAGCTTCCCCGAGAAGAACCAACGCTGGTGGGCAGCGTCGATGTCCTCCTGGACTTGCAGCTGCTTCTTGAGCTGCCCGATGGAGTCCGTCATGCTGGCGCTGAGCCGCAGGTCCCGGCCGGTGGAGAGGCGTACCTTCAGCTGGAACTCCTTCTTGGGTGCGGTCTGCGGCTCGGGGTTCTCCGACACGTCCTCCTCGCTGCGCTCCGACACCAGGTTGACGGGCGGGGCCAGGCAGTAGACTGGCAGCTGGTATCGGTTGCCCAACTCGTCATAACACTCCGTCAGAGAGCCTGCGCCGGGCACAAAGACTTCTTACCTTTGAGTGCTAAATGATGCCACCCCCCTCACCCAACTGGTTCCCAGTGGGAGCAAAAGGCCTCACACACCCAGCACGATGCTTAGGGATACCAACGACTGCTCATATTCAGTACTGTGCAGAACTCTTAGGCAGCCAAAGATAATCAAGTTTAACTGATCTTCATATTGGTGTAAAACTACGTTAGTATGCCTGTCACAGTGTGTCAGAGAGATATTATAATACTAATTTAGTTTAAGCCAGAAATGACATTTAATACATAGATAAAATGGCTAATGTGCCCCTGAGGAGAGGTTTGGGAACTGAAGCGCTGTTCATCTAGCCATCCAGCTAGATACCAGTAACTTTTTGGAGAACAGAAGAAATACCCGATTGTTTTTATTGCCAATCCATCCATTTTCTGCTACTTATCTGGGGTCGGGTTGCTGGGGCAGTAGTCTAAGGGATAGCCACACCTCCCTCTCCCCAGCCACCTCCTCCAGCTCCACCAGGGGAATACCAAGGCGTTCCCAGGCCGGCTGAGAGATATAATCTCCCCGGCGTGTCCTGGATCTGCCCCGGAGCCTCCCGGTTTGACATGCCCGAAACACCTCCCCAGGGAGCCGTCCTGGAGGCATCCTAGATAGATGCCCAACCCACCTTAACTGGCTCCTTTTGATGTGGAGGAGCAGCGGCTCTACTTTGAGCCCCTCTCGAGTGTCTGAGCTCCTCACCCTCTAAGGCTGAGCCCAGCCACCCTGCGAAGGAAACTCATTTCGGCCGCTTGTATCCACGATCTCATTCTTCCGGTAACTACCCAGAGCTCATGACCTTAGGCGAAGGTAGATCGACCAGTAAATTCAGAGCTCTGCCGTCTGGCTCAGCTCCCTCTTCACCAAAACAGAACGGTACGGCGTTCACATTACTGCAGACGCTGCATCAATCTGTCTGCAGACCTCTCACTCCCCCCCCCCCCCTTACTCGTGAACTAGACCCCAAGATACTTGAACTCCTCCGCTGGAGGTAGTAACACATCCCCACCTTTTTCCCCAGTGTTCATCATGTTAATCTTAATTGCATGTGTTCCAATGTTAAATCATGCTTTTGTTCTGAGCAAATGTGCACAAATAGCTTTAAACATTTCCTCTGACTTTTGCACAGTATTGCATAATTAATGTAACAATCTAACACAGATTTCCATACTACTGTAACTGGAGCCACGTCAGCTAAAATTTATGGGAGGATCTGCTTACGCAAGTGCCAAACACAATCGGGCTTTATCCCTCCATATCCTCACCCCTTCCTAGTAGGTGCCGGGTGACAGTTCTGCTTGACATTGCAACTTCTTGCCTAGTGAAAACTACACCCGCTACACTGTGATGATGTTACTCAGATGTAGCCAATCACGGAGCTCCTAGAATCCCCACCCACGTCATCCAATCCACACTGGACGTTTAAATAAAACCCCCCCCTGCCAGATGCCCGTGCACATGCCGTGCGCGTACCGTGGGGCAGAGTGATGCTGGCCCCGTCCACGATGGCCTGGGCGAGCTCGTGGTCGTTGCACTCTATGGCCACTGCTGCAGCCTTCAGCGCGTCCCAGATCTCCTTGCGGCCCTCGAAGGCCGGCGCTGTATCCCAGAACTCGTCACGCTTGCTGCGCAGTTGGCCCTCCGTCATGGGGTAGTCGCTCTTCCACTTGGGCTTGTCCTTCTTCAGGGGCTCATTGCGGCCTGCGGACAGTAGACCAAATTACATTTTACATATGTAGCAGACGGTCTTATCCAAAGTGATGACCCCGCCTTCTGAAATGTACAAGACACTCCTTGGAACAATTGGGGGGTTAAGGGCTTAGCAGTGAAACCAAACTGCTGACGATTGGACTTGAACCGGCAACCTTCTGATCATGGACACAGCATGCTAACCTGCTGAGCCACAAAACTACCTGAAAACAGCAAGAAAATCTAAAACCCTAAATCTCCCAAAATCCCACACCGAGTAACACTTCCTCAACCATCAAACGCGAACAGACACATCCGGGGAAATCCAACACTTTGTGGTCAGGAGCCCAGCCAGTGGAGCACCAGAGTAACCTCTGACAGGTTCAGAATGTGCTTTATAAAGACAAAGTTCATCAATGAATGCAGGATATAAAAGTTCCTTTTTTATTAAGAAGGGTCACAGGCATGGAGAAACAGTGTGCTCACCATACCGGTCAAGGGCAAGGGCCAGGCCCGAGCCAGGGCAAACAGCGAATAGGGTGACGACCAGCAGAATAGAGGATCCGATTGTTACCTACTACACCGACAGCAAACCAAAGCTGGGAGTTCCCCAGCCGAAGCGGACTTACGGGTCTGACAAGCAGCAGGCTGCCCTGATGAGAGAGCGCAAGGATTACACAGAGATCTTTACACAAAGTGTGAGGCCGTACTTAGGCAAAATCAGTGGATCAGAAAGAGATGTTTCACAAACCGGTGATTAGTAAATGATAATAATGGGCAGGTAAGGTTTTTGGTAACACAAGACTCCCATTCTGATTTTTTTATTTATTTTCTTTTTTAATAATGGACAGATAACTCATGAAATTAGCTGCTTTTTGGAAACCATTAAAAACCATGCAGATTCAAAGAAAGTGAAGACACACAGTCAAGGGTTTAGTTTGTACATGCTGCTCTCTGGCTTCTGCCTGTATACATGCTAAACCTCCCCCCCCCCCCCAGAAAGCTGTTAGGCCTGTAGTGAAAATGTGGCCCAGCAATCACAACAGCAGCCGCAGGATGAAAACCACAGACAGAAAGCAGACTTTTTGACATCATAGGATTACAGCTGCAGTGATTGTGTGTTTGGGCCTGTATGTTACTAGCTGCCATTCAGGGTCGATCTCACACCTCCTGACTGACACAGGTTCTCACACACTAAACCCTTGTTTGCGTTATTCAGCATCATCTCTTGGGGGGGGGGGGGGGGTTTGTGGCACATCACACGTACCACATGGTCCCTGGAAAAATGCTACCCCTACGGTCAAAAGGACATACTGTGTATTCTTACTCTGCCTACCAGCAGGGGGCAGTACACGCTATCCTGTGCTAACCTGATTCAATCATAACCCCGACTCCCATCTGTCAAGCACCCAATGCTGACTTTGAGAGATATAAATATATATAAAAAGATTACATTCTAATCAATGAGCAGAGAGCAGGATTTAGAGTTAAACCTCCTCCCCCAAAACACCACCACAGCTGCGAAGCAGACACACAGCTTTTTTGGGATCTGAAATCTGCACAGGGACTCGGTTTTGCTTTTGCCAGGGTTTGTGTTAGGAATACAAGGTCACTGCTTAACAGTAGAAACAAAGGTGTTGGACACCCCTCTGTGTCTGGGGCTTCCTGACACAGCAGACCGTGCCAGAGATGTCCCACTCCAACAAGACGCGCCAGCAGACTGGAAAAGCAAGAGTGGCGTGCACTTTGAAACGCATTAAAAATTAAGCAATTGTTGTATTTCAAAACCTCGCATGGCAATCGCATTTGCGCAGGACTGGCGAATGGAAACATTAGCTTGCCGGCTGAGAGTGAGCGTGCCGATTCAGGCAACCTTCAGGATGTAGGAAAACAGTCTCGGACAGGCACCTCGACGAGAGCCTCACAGCAGCTGCGATGCCACGTAAAGCTGCTTAAGCAGGAATCAACCCCTGAAAGGCTGATTCTTTACAAGCGCAGCAAAAAAAAAAAAACAGCAGGCTGAGCTGTACTCGTGTTCAATCATTCCCTGATGAGTACAGATTGGGGACACTGTGCTACTGTCAGGTGATAGAGATACGAGACACAAAATTTTAAAAGGCATCTCAGGATCGAAAACAATCCTACACAGCCTGAAGCTAAACATAGAAAACAGGGACAATCATATACTGGAGAGGGAGGGGGAGCCTTAGGAGCGTCGAAACTCCACAAATCACCAAGAAACAGCAAGAACTCTTCCACTATGAACATCCCAAACGGCGCCAAAACCAGCACCTGCCCATAAATTAAACGCTCTTACCCCGGAGCGGCAACAGAATGGAGCATGTCTGAACATCTGTGAGCTTACAGCCCCCCCCCCCCCCAACAAGCGGATTCCATCGCAACCACGTCAACAGTCAGAAAGGAGCCAAAGAGGGCTGATGTCGCCACCCCCCAACAGAAAGATACCGCCCGTGGCTTCACAACAAAGTTTTGCAACCACGCATTTCTGCAGCTGCAGATAACCCAGGGGGGTTGGGGGGGCACAACTCCAGAGTGTCCCTCCCGGTTGCCAGATAACGGCACGTGACGTCTGCGCCGGTGGTCTCGCCGAGGCTGGAGATGCGTGGTGAAGTGCTTCTGCTTCCTGTGGAAAGTCATGCACCCACACATAACAGGGGGGGGGGGGTGCTTGTCTTCAAGGAAGTCACATGAAAAGCAGAGGCATGACCTCTAGCAATGTGACGGGGGTGGGGGTGCCATTTCCTGGACAATGCAATGAGGTTTGAAAGGAAGCGGAAGCTCCCCCTGAAAGCGTGGTTCTCAAAAACCCTTTCAGATATTTCCCCATCCACTCCGGCATCTTTCGGCACGCTAGTGTCACTCCTGAGTAACCTGGCGATGCTCTCGCTCTGAATTTCGCAGCCAGCAGATTTAACTTGGCATCAGAGACCGATGGCACGGTGCCACGGCATCTCAGCCGAGTCACGGAGTACATGTGGCTTTCCTGGGGGAGGGGAAGGGGGTCGTGGCAGAAGCGGGCCCCCATTCAGGAAGAGCATCCGGAGAGGGGGCGCGTAGTGGGTGTAAGAAACGGCTGCACATGGTCCCGGGAAGTTGGGGGGGGGGGGGGGGCATGGCAGAAAGCAGTCTCACAAGAGAGGGGAAGGGGGCCAGTGCGGGTTCGCTGTGGTTGTGAGGCGGAGATGAGCCCCATCTTGTACCGTGCCCCCACATCCTGTGTTCATGTGTGGGCAGTAACGCAGGCTTTTTGCTCCAAGACGAGAAAGCAAATCGGTGTGTCATGGGCCAATCATCGCTAACCTTACTGGACATTTGGATGGACAGTGACCAACCAGAGCTGGCTTTGCTTAAGGCACTTCACAAGACTACATAGTATGCCTTGCAGACCCACACTGCAAAGTCTCAGAAGGAGTACAGAGCAAGGACACCGGTCACCTGTCACCTGTCCAACAGCAAACACCAGCCTGGGTGGGAGAAGACCATGAGGTGGAGGCCGTGAAAAAGCCCACCTAAAACTGTCACTTTCATAAAGCTGAATGAAAGCCCACGGAGAATTACACACATTCTTCAACAACTTCCGAAAAAAAGAACAAGCGTAAAGGGGGGGGGGAATGGGGCAATTAAACGTGCTGATTCCTGTTTAAGTGACAATCAAAAAATGCTATAAAAAAAATTAAAGAATGGATTTCATAAACAAATTCCACAGTTATGACAGGGTCAGGGACATTTAGGGCATAAAACAGAGACAGCTTAATTTTTTCGTTCTCTATTAGTCTTAAATTAACTTTCAATGCCTAAATACACTTAAATACAACTCGGACCTACAAGACAACCTCAAATTACAAAAGACGACCAGTAATGTGATTCCAAGCACATTTATTCAGACAAAAAAAAAAAAGAGCTAAGTTATGAATGAAGGAGAGAACTTCTTACTCAATTTTGTACTAATTATCTTTGGACAAGACTAGTCAAGTGGAAATATGCTGAAACATACCTTCTAACCCTGCAGAATATCAAACATGCCATGATGCAACATATAACTTAAGGAACAGGCAAATGGTAAAGGCAGACCTGATAGCGTTTCTGTACAGATAAGAGGCAAGGCAGGAAGACCCACCTTCCAAACAGACCCCATCCTGAAAAACTGTCCAAGATTACCATCCACTAAGTATGAAAAGTACGAGCAGGAAAGCGCCACCTTCATAAAGGTTATTTGTACTGCAGATGAGTAAGCGCACTAGGTTCAGCATCTCTCTACGAATAAGTCTCTGAATGGAGACAAAAGTGACAAATGAGTGAGGATTAGTGTCAGAAAAAAGGGACTAAATTAGCTTTTTAGATAATTTCCAGGGCAGGCCTGCAATCAGGATATCGCAGGCGTGACGCTAGCTGCATCAACCCCCACAGGATATGGTTTTTGTATCAGATGACAAGGGAAGAACAAAGGAAGAACAAGCACTAACAGACAGCTGATGCAGGCAGTTTGATCACCGAACACAGCGTCTCTCAACCCAGTCCTCGGGGACCCCCCCCCCAGACGGTCCATGCTTTTGGTCCCTCCCAGCTCCCAACTGGGATGGGGGCAAAAACGTGGACCGCCTGCAGGTCCCTAAACAGCAGGCTGAGAAACACTGCTGTAACCATAGCCTCGCTGAGTACTGAGGCAGTGAGTTAAACAGTCAACCCAGTTGTTGGCCTACTGGCCATGAGGACCTGGCAGCTGTAAACACTGCAGTTCAAAGGCCAAAATGAGGAGAAACAGGGCCAGAGCAGCACATGGGAACCATAATCCTAAAGGTCGCTGAACACACTGGATTTTGTGCCATCTCATCAAGTCATATAAAACGAATACGCTCAATGAGGAAGCATTAAATCAAATTAGTTATCATGCAGGTCAGAGAACCGGCTGAAGTACGTTTGCTCATGTGCGAATCACGATTCTTTAAAAGACCTGAAGAAAAACAGAAATTAGTAGCGAACTTTAATGGTTATTTAAGGTATTAAATCTCATTCATGCACCAAACAATAACTCACCACCCATAACCAACTATCCTATTATGGGCTTTTCCCTAAAACTGGCTGATCAACTGGGGGAAAAAAGGTTTTCACTTTCTTTTTTCTGACAAAAGGCTTGTTTAGTGTGATTTACAGATTCAGTCAGCCAACTGCTCAATGAAGACACATTAAAGAAGTCACCTGGAATGAGACCAGGCTGGAACTGCCAAGATCCACCAGAGTTGGTTAAGAGCTAAAATCGTAAAGAATATCACCAAGCCAAATGGTTTACAGTTACACTGAAATTACCATATTTATAGCAAGGACAAAAACACTCTGAATTTATCCTCAAATCAGATGACAGATCAGACGACTCAAACGCAGCGAACAAGAATATCAATATTCAGACTGTGAACCCATTTGTCAGAGCTCAAAGACTGAAGGTCAGTTTAGAAATGTCTTTAAAAGAGAACCCAAGCTAATATTAAGGCAGCTTTTTCATGCCTGTTGTCACATCCCAGCAAGCTAACCCTATCCTATTTTCAGGACTTAAACAGCACTGAGAAACGCAAGCCAGTACACAGCTAGATAGAATGGACAAACTGATGAGGCACTAAGAGGAACTAGGACAACGTGAATGGTCACATATCCCTAAAACACTGGTTAAACATTGAACTGTATAAAATGGGTAAAATAAAAACCTACATTATTCCAACCACCCCCCCCCCCCAAAAAAAAAAAAAAAAATCTGCAGCAGCGAGAACAATTATGCCAAATAATTTAGAAATTAAAACTGGAAAAACTTGCGCAAGGAGGAGACATCCATACTGACAGCCTCTCAAAAGAGCAGGCAAAGATGGGAGGCTGTATTTAATAGGCATGGTGACCATATCCATCTACATTGATAGTTTACTGAAGGCTACAACAGTAGGACTCCACTTGGGACTCATGAGAGTAGACTACAGGTTGCAAGGTCATGACCTCAGACTCACCTGGCACATGCATCCTGCCCAGTAAGGGCCCATACACTTCATGTCAGATTAATTGAAACCATCACTGTTCAGTCGCAAGCAGCCACTGTATCTGCAACTACCCAGCCAATGTCTATATTTGCAATACTACCAAGTGCTTCAGCAGCAATCCTGATTCCATCAGTCCCATTTAAAGCCAAGAGTCAAAAATAAACCTCAGCAGTAACTGTCCGCTTGCCTGAGGCAGGGCCAGATTATCTCGGAGCAGCGGTGTCGAGTCGAGCCTCCATTCTCCTAATAACGAGACATTACTCACACGGTTACGACTCCAACTGCACAGAAAAGTATCAAGAAAAAGAAACCTATCATCAATCTGCAGTTTCTCTGAACAAGGAGATGAGAAGCCATCGCAGTGACGTTCCACCAACTCAAAAAGTCTAAGCTCCCATGTTAAAAACTGACACGACAGGGATATTTCACACAAAAAATTACACCAAAGGCCACTTCCCACAACAGGAGATGGCAAAGGAACCATCAAACAGAAATATGTCAGCAACCATTTCTATGCAGCTGGTCCAAAGAGGTCTAAGACTCGGGTCTGGTTAATAGTTGACAGGTACTGTTGTTGTGTTGCGTAGTGATAATACACAGCAGCAAGCAGACTGAAAGTGATTAAGATTACACTGAAATGTGCTCACTTTTAGTGAAGTTTGTTGTGATCACAACAGAAGGTACCAGTGCACACTTTAAAAATGGCTGCGCTGGATGTACTTTCCTTCTATTCATGGAAAGCACAGTGATCTAAATAAGGGTGAAATAAAACAAGGAGGAACATTTGTGCAGTAAAGTCTGAGTGCCGATATTGAAAAGGTGCATAAAAATGTTGTCAGGAAGGAATCTCTGTGCCAGTATGACGCATGCGGTGTCATGGTCACCAGCTGTGAAGTAAGCTAAAGTATCACAACATGATTTTAAAATTAATGATCGTAAATCCTGTTCACTGACAAAGCAGAAGACTGATGTCCTCCCCACAAAAGCAAGATAGACAAAACTTAAGAGGCCAGATTACGAACTGAAAGACATACCAACATATAACCAAAGAACAAACTGACATCTACACATTAAACGAAGTCTCGAAACGTAATACGGATTTAGTTTTTCTTCCCCCGCCCTCTGTCACCCGCAATGTATATAAAAACCCTTTTTCGAAAGTCATAAGCCAAATAAGTATTCCAAACAATTTACCTAGAATGAAACAGAGCAGGGTTTTATCATAAGCAGACTGTAGATAAAGTCTCGGCTAGGGAAAGAATTTGGAAACGAAACATACAAGTTATATTGCTTTTCCATCCGTGACATTCAGAATAAACATGATCGATTCAGCAGTGCCTCCCATAAGAGGAAACTCCTGGCCGCAGTTTGGGACGCAGAGGTCCGCAGCCAGATAAGCGATAATAAAGGGTGGCACCACCTGGGCGCCTACAGATAACGGGCTACGTGAGAATCAGGACACAAACTAAACTACACATTCGGCCGTCCTGCGTTTGTGCGGCTTCATATACAGGCCCGTTAGCGCTCAGTCCCCCGTTACACCCGCGCTTGACCCCAATCCCCGCAGTTAAATCATCCAGCCGGATAAACGTGAGCGCTGTGCGCAAACCCCTGCGGCTCCGGGACGAAGCCCTACCTCCGCGTTTCCGACGGTTCCGTCCGCCGCTCCTGGACGAGCCCCGGGCCGGCGTGTCGCCACGCTGCCGTCCGACGCATCCTCCCATGGCTCTCGGTTAGGAAAAGAGCCCCATGAGGCGGCGGAGACGGGGTGCCGCCGGTGCAAGAAGCCCAAAAAAAAATTCTTGAGATTTTAAAAATAATTATGTAGCAGTCAGCGTGCCGTGGAAAGCCTCCGAGTAGCAGTGCCGCATAAAGCACAGAAATAAAAAGGGGAACCCGGATTAAACTCTTTGCTAATTACGGGTCAGCCGCTAGTAACCGAGCGGTCGCGGCGCCCTCCCGGCCGGCCAGCAAACTTCAGGCGACTTTTCCCAAAGCGGCCGCTTCGCGTCCGGGGAGGTGCCGGCGCTCCGGGGGGGGGGGACTCCGGACTCAGGCAGGCTGGCCGTCCGCAGGATTTAAAATGAAAATAATAATAATTTCAATTAAAACAGAAACTTGGGTGTCAACTGTCCTCTGAGAAGCAGGACGCGGCGCAGTCCGGCACAGCCCCCCCGGCGAGCGGCGCGGATACCCGCACAGTCTCGGCAAAACTATGTATATCAAACGGTGCTGGAGGCGAGCGCGGCACTTTGACACCGTCTTTCTGGCGGCGGGCCCGCCGTACACCCCGGTCGGCCGCTTCCCGATCTATCTGGCAGGCTACAGCATGCCCGCGGCTAGGCTAGTTAGCCGGACTACTAACTAGACAAGTTTGCAAAGCGCCCGGCGCCTCTTCCAGCCAGCCGGTCACATTCAGGCGGTATTTTAAACGCGCATCCCCCACTCCCAGGTTGTCATCTCCCATACAGTTTAACCCTTCAGCTAAGTGTTCCCCCCTTTCCTGCCTTTTATTTGTTGATTTTTTTTTTTTTTACCCCCCTCCTTCCATTTCTTCACAGGTTTAAATCCCTCTCTTCCTGGTGGGGTGGGAGACGGATGGGTATTTGACTGGGGGGGGTGTTTAAAAAGCGGTTCGACGCGCAGGCGCGTTCGCGAGGAGGCGTGCCCTTGCACGAGGTGGCGTCACGTACCGAAGAAGTCCAGCCCGTGAGACACGCACGTGTGCGCGTGTGGCTTGCTTTTGTTATGCTCCTCGCTGGTGTTTCCGGCCTTATAGCTAAAAGTCAGCGATACCGTGGAAGAAGAACCCACTACTTCTTCAGAATCAGATATTTTATTTGCCAATTACAGAGAAGTACAAGGAATTTCTTGCACCTTATCGCACTAGTTTAATCAAAAAGACCCTTAACAGGGAATGTTAAACATATTTATCCCTGACATTTACAATATATGATTCTTTATCTCTAGAACCCTGCATTCCGTGATGTATGCGACGGAACATGTAGTGGAACAGTTCGGTCAAAGTATCTTGATGAGAGTACAGTACAATTACTCCCAGTTCTGAAATGCATTGGTTAAAAGTCATTGTTTACTAGTCTGTGCGCTGACATGGCGAATCACATTTCCGTGACAATTAAGCTCAATTTCATAATGTTGCATTGCAAATTTCATCATAGTTTATTGTTCATAAAAATCATTCAATCATCAAATTTTGGCAGCTGATATTTACGACACTTTGCTTGAGTTTCTAAAGTCAGAATCAGTTTTATTAACCAAATATGCATGCGTACAAAGAAACAGACATATATATTGTTTATTCGGTCCACATAAACAGAACTAAAAGAAACAAAGCTAAACTAAAAAAACTGAATGTAAAGGCATACGGATACGTTATAAAAGCTAAGCATTAAGTAAAAGTTAAATCAGTGTTCTTTTTCATAATCTCTTAATGGTATAAACACGTGAACATGTTTCACATCAATAAATGCTATATTTACATGCTCACATTTATTATCTCTGAATAACTTAAATCACCAAAGTCCTTACTGACAGCACCACCGGTATAGTATTTGTCACTTCCCCTGTCTGTGATTTCGTTCTACCCCATATAATTGTCTGCTCATGTTTCATACATACGTATATTTATAAGTCCGCAAAACCTGTGTTGCGTGAGCTCTAGTATTTCTATTTCTATGATTTACACTCCTATTTCTATGATTTGTCAACATTTGCGCACGCGCAGTTTGCTTTCGCGCACGATGGCTACTGATGGTGCTGTACTGCTGGGCTTGGTGGAGGAGTTCGTCTCAGGACAACAGGACAGCAAGGCCGCGGACACGGCAAGAGGTAGCGAGTGGGATTTTGATCGGTGCTGAAGGCGCGTGCTTAAGGGGCACCGGCGTGCTGAAGGGCCTGGGGGCGAAGCAGCGATCTGCCATGCGCGTACACGATGCCCCCGGAGTTGCGTTTCGGCTTCCCAGCTTCGCTGGTTTTTCGCTCTTCTATGCTTAGCAACAACACAAATTGTGTCAAATGTATGATTTATTTAAGTCAACTCACAGAAACGAGCCTCTAAATCAGTGCAGTCTTCCGTAATGTTTACTATCTGAAAAGAATGTTACAGCTGAGTTTGTTCACAAAGTGCACCGAGGGACCATTTGGCACCCAGAGTTCACTGAATTGTCCGGGAGGGGTTTCAGGGCCAGACCAGTTGAAATTAATAATGTTAACTGTGGAGATGGAGTTTGTTTCGGGCCACGTCATTTTTAGAATAAAAAGAACACGTGTCTGACACTTACAGATGGCAAGAATGAGCCTAAATGTTAGTACCCTAAATGTTGCAATGTTCGTAATGCTGTCTGATATAGGTTAGATACACCATAGATGTCGTCAGAGATACACATAACCACCTCCACAGTATTATCTGTTGCATAGTGCCACACAAGATTTACATTTCCCGTTTGGAAAGGAACATCGTGGTTCTTTTCAGAGCCTGACCTTTGGAGGTTTTGATTATGAAAATCTGATGTTGACTGTTGTGGTAGGCCACACTACCTGGATAATTCTGACAATCAAGGGTTATGTGTTGTATGCTGCCCTCTATTTAAATGGGCCACTAGTTCCTCAATGACATTGTATTAAACCCTTTATTTTCTTTGCAAGGTGTGAAGACTGGACAGTTTAAAATATTAGAACTGGTTGAAGCTTTGGGGTAAAGTATCAGTTTTTATATGTAAAATGTATGTTTTCATGTATCATGTAATTATATCATGATTGAGTAATGTAAGTTAATATAAGCCAGTTGCTGTGTCTGTTATTTCACCAAAGAGTTCTCATTATTTATGGGTTTACAGTTTTTGCAAGATGTGGAAAGTATAAAAATCTGTTCATCAGAGTGTCAGATTGAGACTTTGCTGGCTAACTTCAGAGTGCCAGACCGTGCCTGTTTTTATAAGGGGCACAGTGTTTGCAAAGGCCTACGGTCTGGCTGCTGAATGCTCACGTGTAACTGTTTGAAACAAAATGGCCACAGATGCAGCTTTCGGGGCTGCGGTACGGCAGCCTTAGGGACCCGAACTGCGTGTGTTAGAAACATAATGGCCGCCCCCAGGACTGGCTGTTCAGTGCCCTGTGTTTCTCTATGCAGCCTGAGCCTGACGAGCTCCCAGCCGCAGACTAGGGCACGTGGAGTGCAGCTGCTGTCTGAGGTCCTACACGAGTGTAACAGCAGTCTCTCCGAGAAGGAAGGTGAGGCCTTCCTCTGACCCGGCACAGCGCATCAGGGGCTGCTGTTAATCACGTTCATTCAGGATTTATGTGCCACATACACAGTTATACCCGGTACAATGTGATCGGCTTGATTGGGATTATGAGACAAGAGAAGTAAGTCTGAAGTTTTAGACAAACTTAATAAATATCCATAAACGGTGTGCAGTTAGCAGTAAGGTGACAGATGGTGGAGCAGAGAGTCAGATGAATGAGGTGATATTTACATATGTAAACTGTGTTTACGTGATTGTGCTGTGTGGGCTGTTGGAACATTGATTATGGAGCCTTTGGACACGGTCCTTGTGTCCAGCATTAGACCATTAAAGGTTTTTGTCTGATTGAATGTTATCCAGCCCCCTAAGTCTTACTGTAGGATTACAATCAGAATCCTTTTATTCACCGTGTGCAAAAAGAACAATGAATTTTGTTTCGGTGATGGCACGAGTATGCAATTTATACACAATGTCAAGAGAAAAATACACACGACAATAAATCTAATAATGATAGAAAGAGAGGTGTTGAATACACGGCTCTGTGTCAGCTGAACAGAGAAATTACAGTCCTTAACTCTGTTACCATGGCTGCAGTCCCCCGTTTGGAATTCTGATTGTCCTCATGTCACTGTTATTGTTCGGAAAGCTGTTATCAGTTATTTAGCAGTGGCTCTTAATCGTCATGCCTTACTGTGTTTGGAACTGTCAGAAATGTGATTGGCTGTTGGTTTCACCACCTGCTTTTCACTGCTCTGTTTATTTTCTTTTTCTTTTTTTAATTGCAGTCGAGGTCCTTGTAGTTTTTTATGAAAACAGACTGAAGGACCACTATGTCATCCTGCCCCATGTTTTGCAGGGGATCAAGGCCTTGGTGAGTTTTTGTTTGCTTTTTAACAAAAAAAAAACACATTTGGAGATTTATATACCTGGGACGTATTTTAATGCTATATGATATTGGCGTGTTTGATTTAGATACTCAGAGTTTTTGTGTGTGTGTGTGTGACTGAAAGTGATTTTTTTTAAAAATTATTTTCCTAATACCATTGACCCATCCAAATGATGCTCAGCCGATCAGTTTCACACATCTGCCATCTTTTCTTCACATGTGGGTTTTCTGTTCCGGCGCTGCTGTTCTTTCTCTGTAACCATGGAAACTTTAAAGCCCAGACACCCTGAAGTCTCTTATGGTTTAAGACAAACTTTGCATCACCTGCTCGTAGCGTATTAGCGCCGCTGTAGCCCTGCAGCGTCTTGTGGGCCCCCACAAGCGATTTGTATCGCAGT